TCCTCCTCCTCCTCTTCCTCTTCTTCTTCTTCTTCTTCTTCTTCTTCTTCTTCTTCTTCTTCTTCTTCTTCTGTCTTCAGGATTTCTGTGGTGCATATTTGTAATCCTAGTGCTTGGGAGGCTGAGGCAGGAGGGTTGCTGTGAGTTTAAGGCCAACCTGAGCTACATAATAAGATCCTGTCTGGAAAAAAAACAAAACAAAACAAAAAAAGATTTCTAAGTACTTTCTTTTCTAACAGACTTCTGTTTTAATATTTAGATCTTTGATCCATTTTGACTTTAGTTTAGTACATGGTGATAGATATCAGTTTAGTTTTAGTCTTCAACATATATCAAGCCAGTTTTTGCACACCATTTGTTAAAGAGACTATCTTTCTTCCAGTGAACATGTTTGGCCCCTTTATCAGAAATAAGGTGGCTGAGTGTGTTTGTAGTTGTGTCTACATCTTCTTATCTATTCCATTGATCCTCAGGTCTATTCTTGCCAGTACCATGCTGATTTTATCACAATAGCTTTATAGTATAATTTCAAGTCAGGAATTGTAATGCCTGCTGCCTTATCTTTGTTGCAAGGGCTTGCTTTTGCTATTCTAGGTCTCTTCTGTTTCCAAATGAATTTTAGGAATGTTTTCACTAAGTCTGTGAGGTATGCTAATGGTATTTAGCATACCGTAGGAATGTCTTGGGAATATGGCCATTTTCACAATATTGGTTCTTCCTATCCATAAGCAAAGGATATCTTTCCATTTTTTGATATCCTCTTCAATCTCCTTTTTCAGAGTACTATAATTTTCAATATACAGATTTTTACTTCCTTTGTTAGCTTGATTCCTATTTCATTTTTGGATGCTATTGTAAAGGCTGTGGTTTCCTTAATTTTTCTCTCAGTGAGTTTGTTGTTTGTGTATAGGAATGCCATTGATTTTTGAGTGTTGACTTTGTATCCAGCTATGCTACTGAATTTGCTAATAAATCTAGAAGTCATTTGTTAGAGAGAGATGTGAGTTTTGAAAGAGATGATGGCCTAAAATCATCAGCTTATTACTTATCAATGTGATGATTTATGAAATATTTCTTTCTGGATTACAGTGAAAAGAAGAGACTAGACCTGGAAAAGAAACTGTATGAGTATAATCAGTCTGACATATACAGGTAAGCAGTATGGTACTGACAGTTTTCAAAGCAACTTGCATATTTGAACCAAAATTTAAGCCATGCTCTTAATTCTGTAGTTGGAATGTTTTTACCACTCTCTTATTTCTAACATATAATGTAATTTGAATTGGCTGTTGTAATTTAATATAATCATTATCAAGAAATTTTTTTTCATTATTTAGTGGCATAATTTTAGGAATATGTTTTACTTACATATTTTAATTAGAGCAATTTCTGTAATTATTAAGGTATATAAATACTGTAGTTGATCTTTGAACAAACTGTTATAGTCAGGGTTACCTATTGTCTCATTTTTTATTGATATATGACAATAACTTTTAAAGTTATTAAAATTACAATAATGTATGGTATATATGTTATCCTTTCCTGGTTACTTACAGTGATATTAAGAACAGATTTCAATATTTTAATTTCTGTTTTATAAAAACCAAACTTCATTCTTAAGCTAAATGTATGCCATTACCTCCACCATTCATATGAAGAATTTCTGACTATGATGGCATTAAATTTTGAGCATGGGACACTAAGAGTGAGAGTGAAACTACTTGAGAGAGATGAGAATACTGTGAAACCAAATCACCCATTACCTCATCTTCAGAATTACCCTTTATTTTAAAATGAGTGTATTAAGCACCTGCCTGGCACTGGGGAGATAGCTCAGTAGAATAAGTATTTCCCTGGCAAGCACAAGGGCCTGAGTTCAATCCCCGGTCCTACCCCCCAAAAAAAAAAGCGCCTGCCTGGCAAGTGCAAGGTCCTGAGTTCGATCCCTGGTACTGAAGGAAAAAAAAAGGCATGTGCTTCCAAGGTTTCCAGTAAAAGGTAGAAGTCATATGTTCTAACAGTTCCAGAAGAGGCAAGAGACAGCTGTCTTGATGTGCAGCCCGAGTCAGAGGATTCCTTGTCAGCTGCTGTTTCACCAGCTCATGGCTGATGGGGCCAGGATGGCTGTCGGCTTCATGCAGCCTGTGCTTGGGCAGCTTCCTGTACCTTAAAATTCAAGCTAACTAACCTGGTTTCCCAAGAAGGCAGCGTGTGAGTCTAAGGTTTGTGTAGTTGGAGGCTCATTTGTAGAGGTGGTCATGCAGTTGGAGAGCAAGGCTGGGAAGAAGGAAATGGAAGCTGCCTGGTTTGGCTCCTGCAGACCTTCAGAGTAGCAGAATCAACTGTCCTGTCTCTGGTGAGCATCCTTATCCACTGTAAAGGTGGCCTGGTGGAGTGAACTACTGATACACAGGCTTCGATTCTCCTGTGCTAACAAAGAGAGACCAGCCTGGGAAAATGAGAAACACTGGGGAATTAAGCTGAGGCTGCTGCAGCTGTGGCTGGCAGAGGAAGGTGGCAAGAGATGAACTAGGGTCCTTGAAATGTCCCTCACCACAGCCCACCAGGTTCTCCATCATTACCATATCTTTCTATCCTCCCCCTAAAATTTGATGTTGCCTGAAACTTCAGTTTCTTAAGCACAACCAGTCTTTTGAGTATAGCACATAAGTATGTAGGTCAGCACCTCAGTTCCATCTGAGACTCAGCAGCTCCCAGCCGAGTAGTCTTTCGGCAGTCTCTTCACTCAGAAACAATGATTATGCACAGCTCTGCAGTGAGTTACAGCACACTGCGCCTTCAAGCAGTGCGGACCCAAAGGAACATCAAGAACTTATTAGGAGTAGTATTTTTATCACTATCCTTGCTGTTATTCTTATTTATTGCCTTTGAATTCTGTGGCACATGTTTCTGCTGCCCAGAAGTTTTCCCCTTATCTCTTTATTCTTGTTTTCCCCAATTTTGCTTAACTGTTATCATTGTGCAGTATTTGCACTGGGTAGGTCCCTAATTCCCTTTCCCTAGGCGGGGTTGTCTGGGCCTTGTGAAAGTGTCTTTCCATCTCCTGCACAGCCTTCACCACACTGTGTTTACTTAGTTGACTGTTATCCCTGTTGACTGTACCCAACTGGCATCTGTACTTGCAGAGCTGAGCATATGAGTAATTGACGGAGGATGGCTGCCTGGCTCGTGTGGCCAGCTTTGAAGGTTAATGCATGGAGAAGGGAAGAGGAATATGGATGAAGAAGGCTTGGTTACTATGGTACCTACTCTAGCAGATACTAGACACCAGCACTGCTAAGTGCTTCAGTACAAAAGAACCTCTTTGAGGTTTATCTCCATTTTTGTCATTTGTGTCTAACATGCAGATGGGCAAAACAAAAAACAGCATAAGTTCTTGTTCAGAGGAAGAATGTAATGGGTTACCACAGTCAAAGCATGTAATTACTAGCACAATAGTTCCTTGAAAATTGTTGCCCTAATTTTACAGATTTGTCTGTAATATAAAAAGGCCAATATGCTATACAATTTAATGTGGCCACATAGATGCCACTCCTGAAATCGTATTTCATTTTGAGAAATAAATCCATATGAATCTTTACCATGTGAGTGTTACAGTATGATCGCATACACATTTTTTGAGGGTGTTCTGCCGTGATGTACCTCATGTGCCACCTCATTGATGCCAATTAATTTATCTCTGAAAATGTCTATTCACTCTGTCTGTTTCTAGTCTCTTGGTAAACTATGTGAGACTTCATTATCTCATTAACAATTTTGTTAAAGAAAATTCTTAGGTTTGTCAAAATTTAACTCCATTGTTTAAAAAATCTGATTTTTTTTCCCTAGAGTTAAGCTGAAATATATAAAACTAAAGAAATACCTGAAGGAAATATGTGAATCTGAAAAGAGAGCTCATACTCGAAACCAACAATATTTAAAGCAATTCAAGCATGTCGAAGCTCATATCGGACACTTAACTACAAGTACAGAGAAGCTTCAGGAACTGAAGGTGACACCTTGAATATACTATATTTTTAAAACCCTATTTTCCAAAGAGTGGCAGTCATAAAGGTTCAGCTGGTTGCATATAACTAAGTATAAGCTTTCTCCTGAATCGCCATGTAGCCACATTCGATCAGAGAACTGGAAATTGCATTTCCTAACAGTTCTACAACAGTGGAGGAATTAATGGAGAATCTGTGTCCCAGGCAGGGTCACTAACCAGTCATAGTTGCACCGTCTGACCTCTGGTATTTGTCGGTGGAATGATCACATTTGAACAGTGGTAGAGCTGCCTCTAGAAACTGCTTTCCTTTTTACAGTGTCCTTTGTCAGTGGCTGAGCTCTTCCCTTCCAGCCCAGCAGTACCTTTTGGGAGCATTGAGAAATAAAAGCAGTCCTGGGAGTTCATCCTCGCACGCCTGTGCTGTGCAGCCCAGAGCAGCTACCTCTCAAGGCCCCTGTACTAGTGGTACCTCATTCCCCACCAGGACTTAGTTACCACAAGTGAGGGCAAGTGTCGGGGCCTGGAGTGAAGCCTTCTTCCTGACCATTTGCCTTCAATACCGGGGATCGAACTCAGGCTGGGAAGTGCTTATTCTACCGAGCCATTTCCCTGGCCCCCCACTCTTCCTTTTATTCCCCGTGACACTAGGATTTTGCAGGAGGAGGCCAGGTGTAGCCCTTGTGAGTCTGAGATCTCATTTACTGGAGTAGCACCCTATATTTCCAGTAACACAGAGAAGTAGTTAAGCCAGCACCACCCAGAGTACTTTGTAGTGATGCAGCTATCTTGTAGCTTTGCTAACCCATCTACTGCTGTAGATGCTGTTGAGTCCTGAAAATGTGGCCATGACACCTGAGGACTGTGGTTTTCTTCTGTTAATTTTGAAGGACCTTGTGACAGCTGAGATTCTTCTTCTACCAGCTTCTCCACAGCAACCATGCTGTAGGGGGCCCCAGAGTAAGCCTCTTGTTACAAAGTGGTGACTTCTAGATGTCTCTGTTATACTGTACCCCCACCTATTAATTAGTAAATACCCATGGAGTGATAGTTTGATGTTACTGGGTCTCTCACTAGGGTTCTACCAAGTAGTTCTATGATCCATTGATGAGTCTTACCTGAATTTTTACAGTAGAGATTGTGAAATGGTGATTTTTTGCTCTGTGTCCTGACTTTCTTCTATAACAAAGAACATTTTCCTCCTTTCCTCTTTTTTTTTTTTTTCTTTTTGGTACCAGGAATGGAACTCAGGACCTTGCACTTGCCAGGCAGGTACTGTGCTGCTGATCTATATCCCCAGCCTATACTTTCTTTTTATATCACAGTAGATTTAATTTTTATTTAGTCAGTGTGTTATCAGCTATAATATTTTTGTTGTTTCTGTTTTTCAAACTTGGCTTGTAGAAAGGAGTCTCCTTTTCATATAGGATCTAGGGATTGAACCTAGGGCTTTGTGCATGCTGAGCACATGCTGTACCACTGAGTGACACCCCAGCTGTTGAGAATTGTCTCATTTGGCTGGCAAGATAGCTTAGTGGTCTAAAGTGCCTGCAAGATCAGGCAGGCTCAGGGGACTACGGCTCGATCGGTCCCTAGCACCAGGGTGGGCTGAGTATGGCCAAATTGAGAGAGAGAGAGAGAGAGAGAGAGAGAGAGAGAGAGAGAGAGAGAGAGAGAGAGAGAGAGACTGACTCAGTTACTTCCTTATGGTAACACGATATAACTAGCATCCACAGTTAAAGGAGGAATGGTTCATTTAGCTCACACTTTGTAGAGGTTTCAGTTCATAGTCACCCGGCTCTGAAACGATGGAATGACAGAGGGGCATCACAGAGGAGAAATAGTCCATGGATGGCAAGCAGGAAGCAGCTTCCCACTTTCTCTCTCTCTCTCTCTCTCTCTCTTTTTTTTTTTTTTTTTGGCAGAACTGGGGGTTGAACTCAGACCCTTGCACTTGCCAGGGAAGCGCTTATTCTACTGAACCATCTCGCCGGCCCCTCTTTCTCTTTTTTTCCCCTCTTTCTCTTTATATTCCTTCTAGGCTATAAGCATGTTGGTGAGTGCTGTCCACATCGAGGCTTGGCCTTCCCATTACCAGCACCCAGAATTATGCTAGACCAATCAGTGAAATAATTTAGTTATCTCATACTTTTAATCCATATTCACATGCTCTAGATCCAGTTACCCCTGGCAAACTCCAACTATGAGTATATGAGGCTTTGTGGGGACATCTGGATACAAGGCATAGCAGGAATCTCTTTCGCTTGACTCCAGCACTTTTGCTGTGAACCCATTTCTCTGAGCCTTCTTGGCTAGGGTTGCATTGTTCTCCTTGTCTCTGACATGAAATCGGCCTTTTGCCTCCAGAGCTGTGGTTGCTCGCTGACATTGAGAAGCTGAGGGTTAGCTGTGCTCAAGCCCTAGCAAGTTTTGGGTGCAGCACTCCAGTTCTGTCTCCTAATATTTAAGTAGAGTGCCTTGAGCTCAAGAACAGTTGTCACTGTGTTATAAACCACTTTGCAGAGTCCACAGAGAAAATAAAAGAGGTGAGCAAAGCATAGAATTTTTAATAGAAAATTTCCTCTTACATTCACATTGAGGCTTTAGGTAATTATTGACTTCCTAAAACCAAGTATGGGAGCAAAGAATTTGAAAAGAAAATCATCTTTCGTAAATACTTTTATATTGAGAGCATTTGTTCTGTGTAATTATGACTTATATATTGAGCTACAAAAGAGTATCACCATGGGGATCATTTTAAAGAAAGAATAACAAACTGCATTTACAGAAATATGAAAAGCTTGATCTGTATGTATGATTCAACAATTGCAAACCTGTTGCTTTTTAGAATTTTGGGTAATAAATACCTCACAGAAGCAATCTGCTGATGACATAGAAGAGCATATTAGTAGCTGAGTGAGAAAGACTTGAGTTGCATGAAGAACTGTCCTGTCATGGCCATGTCAAGTCTTTAGTCCCATGCCTGCTGTGTGCCCACAAGACAAGAACCATGGCTTCCGAACCCAGTGGGCCATGCCATGGGTTCAGCAGAGTTCTGCATAAGGAAGTTGCTATTTTTTGTCTTCTCCTTGTTTTTTGCTGCTTCCTCTTTTGCCACTATCAAGTGGTGGCTGAAGGTGTGAGAACCACTGTCTCTTCCCAGTACTCCCCATTCAGATGTCTGAACTTTGCCTCCTCCGTTACCCAACCCCATGCAAATCTCAGAACAGAGGTGCCCATGGGGTGCTGCTTGTACTTCTGTGATGGCAGGGCTGTTTCCCTCAGCTAGAATGCAGCTCCCTCATGTGACCTGCAGATGGGTGGGAGGCAAGAAGATAAATGCAAGTGAGGCAGTGTGGGAGAAGTGGGATTCTGTGCAAATTATACTGAGTAACTGTCTCCCTCTAGGGAGATGTGCTGGACCCACGTTATTATGCATGTACCGTTGACATCTTTTAAGGTAGTATCAAAGCTAAAACAGTTTCAACTGATTATGCTAGTCATTCTGTTTCTTGGAGACCAAAGATAATGCTCAGGGCTCTTAAGGCTATTAGTGTGTTACATAGTTTTGAAACTATAGTATTGGGGCTGGAGGGCCATATTGCCTCTTGTCAGTATTGATGAAGAATCTGATAAACTCATTGTCAAAGTGGGCCCCTCTCGCTCTGCTCCTAGAGAGGCTGCTATCTAGAGAGGTCCCCGCCCCACCTGGTCCTCAGCTAGAACATTTTTCCAGAATCCCTTTGTCTTCTCTCAGACAGATTGGGTTCTCCCCAAAGCAGCACCTGAGAAGGTACTCAGCTGGGAGAAGAAGGAACATCAGGAGGCTAGATGTGGAGGCAAAGTGGAGACAGGCACAGCCTGTATCACCAAGCCATCTTCTGCAGTTGTCTGCTTCTGCTTCATTGCACAGGGAAACTGTCATGTGGTTGGGAGCATCTGGGCTGTGTATTCTGGGCACTGCCTGGCATAGATGGAGAATTGGTGGGCAGAGGCACAGGTGGCAGGGTTAACCAGGCCCCTTATAGCCAGCGGAGCTCCGTGGTTCTGAGGAGTCTTAGGCACAGAGACCTTTGTAGTGGAACTCAGAGCACACAGAGTGCTCCGGAACAAGTGTAGAGCTTCCCCAGCACCTGCGTAGCTCCAACAGCAGCAGTGCCTGGCACAGGGTCCCTACTCTGGGCAACTTGCCCCTGGTTATATCTTGGCTAGAAGTGCTGGCCCACACTTTCCATAACAAAGGCTGGATGCTGTTCTATACCTGTTCTCAGTCCTAACTGTATAAACACATCCCTCACACACATGCACTCACATGTGCACACCGACATGCCCGTTTGCTCCGCTCATCTCTCTGTCCTGCCCTACCCACTCGCTCTCTCCATCTCCATCTCTCTTTCCCATTTCTTCCCCCTTCCCTATTCCTGCTTTCCTGCCTTTGCCTACGCTCAACTCCTGCCTCTTACACTTGTTATCTTCCCACTCTGTTCCATATCTTCCTCTCTTGCACAGGTACACTCCCCATACACACTCCCTTGCTCCACTCACATGCACCCACAGCACATTAAACGTGCTAAGCAGTCTGCATCTCCTCCAGAGCTCTGCATTGTCTTCTCCCTAGCTCCCTCCAGCAGTCCCCTCCATGCCCTGCTTTAGGTCTGTGTTATGTTATCATGGGAAGCACTTTTTGCATGGGGTTGGAATTGTTTGCATGTCTGTCTTCCCTCTTCACTGTGAGCTCCTTGTCTTTCAATTTTGGTACTCGCAATATGGCACACAGTAAGCACTCAGGCAGCACTGATGGGGGCTCCCCAACTGACAGTTCTTCCATATTTTTTTGTCTTGTCTCTTATGGACCATGAACAATGATATGAGAACTAATGTGGTATTGATTATAGCGTATGTCAGTAATAGTAAATCTATTAGAGCTTTCAGTGATAACCCACTGTGGCATGTGTGCCTTAGGTTTCCCACCACTACCCTACGTTATACCTGTGCAGGAAGCATTTGGGTTTAATAACAGGTATTCTGAAGTTATAATGTCATTATTTAAAGATTGATTGTCCCTAGAAATGTGGCCATTAGGCTATATATACACCAAAAGAGAACAAGATTTGAGAACAAATATTTTGAACTTTCACGCACATTCCTAGTAAGCATTTTGACAGACACTGTGGGCAGAGCATGACCTTCAGGCTACCCAAAGACGAAATCTGTAGCAAAGTCCATTTTTATCAACCTGAGTGCATTATTCATTAATACATATTAATTGAATAAATAAACCTCCATACTTTTAGTTAAAGTTCATCATGTAGGAGAAAGTGCAAATACTGGAAAAAATAGTGGAAGAGAAAAACAGAAAACTGTGAACCTGAGTTTCATGTCTTATATTCACCTAAGAGTCAAATCAGACAGTTTATGTGAGCATACACCCATTTCTTCAACTATAGTATGAAGAGGCAAGGCCAGCTGATCATCCTAGTGTTCATTTCAGTGTTCCCGTTCTGTAACAAGAGAGTTTGCTGTGCAATCCTAACACCAAGAAAAGAAGGAAACTTGGATAGAAAAAAGGCAAAATGGTCAGGACGACAGCACCAGGACAAGAGGGACAGTGAGGGTATGGCATGAGGACACCAAGGAAGCAAGCATGACAGAATGCAGGCAGGGTGCAAGAGACCCGAGGCATCTACAGGTACCTGTGGCTCCCCTTCCCATGCCAAGACTCATTAACAGAACTCACTGAGTCAGCTGAAAGAATGCACATGTGTGTAGTGCACAAGCGTAGGGGACAGTCTCTTCAGCTTGGTCTCACAGCATCAGACCAGTGCCATGAAGGAAATAGTAACAGAACAAGTTACCAGGTGCTTGGACTCAGTGCCCTCGGTTTATCACCCAAGACTAGATTTCCCACCTAGAGCAGAGGGTGAGGGGATTGTTGTAGAGTAGCTCTGTACCACACCATACTACTGGGCATGAGTTACATAGTGCCTGAAGCAGCAAGTCTGACTGTGAGACGTCAAGGCCACATGGCTGAAGAAAATGGGGGTGGGAGTCTGCACCAGCATAAAAGGATGCATTCAAACCCCTGATACGGAAACAGGAAGCATTGAGGCCTGATGGGAGAAGTCAAGAACAACATGGGAAAGACCAGCCATTGGAGATGGAGATGTAAAGATGGCATGTACCCTGACATTGAGTTATATATTTCTAGCAGGGAAGGTCTTGGAAAGAGTCACCTATACAGTATTTTACAGAGTTTTTTCTTTTAAAAGTAACTAAATCCTTGAAGTGGGACTAGGAAGCCTCAGGTGCTGTGAAGCACAGCTGAAAGCCCCTGTTGACCCACCTTCAGAGGTGGATTTGATAAGTAATAACCAAGTGTCATAGTAAAAATGAGAAGAAAGAACAAAGCCCTTTTAGGTGTCAGTCTGTCATCCTAGGTGGTGTAGAGTTATTTTATATCAATATCGATTTATAAAAGTACCATTCTGAAAAAAAAAATAAAAAATTGGGGCCAGAGAAATAGCTCAGTAGAATAAGCACTTGCCTGGTAAGTACAAGGGCCTGAGTTCAAGCCCTGGCTCTACAAAAAATAAATAAATTAATAATAATAATAATAGTAATAATAATAAATAAGAGTACCATTCTGATTTCAAAATACAAGGTACAGCTTTTCTTTGTATCAGTAATTTTGGAACAGAGACCTATAGTTGGGTAACTTTTTCACACATATTGAGAACTTGAGATCTTGAGGATACCTTTCTTACTATTCTTCAGAAAGATGTCATGCAGTTATCACTTCCATTTTGCCTCCAGAAAATGAACTGAGTAAAACTCCCATGTTTTTCTGGAAGTGCATTCTTTGGAATGTACTGCTCTGAAATGACCCCACAGTGACAAGATCAGGGACAGTGCCTGCTGACCTCAAAAAGTGAAAGAAAACATTTGTAGTCACAGTGAAAAAGAATTTTTGTTTAACTTCTAATTATAGATTATATTCATCTGTTGCTTTTTAAAGGTGATTTCTCATGGCATCTATAAAGTATGCCTGCTTAAAGCTCTCAGAATTAAAAACTAAATATTTCCAAATTCAAAGATACAGATATAGAACAGAGAGATGTAAATTGTGTTTTCATAATTGCCTTATCTTCATCTTCTCTATTTTATTATTTGTATCATGACCTTTAAAACTTCATCTATTTTAGATCATTATTGCTCTCCATCATGTTAATAGCATTTTGCTACAGGAAAAATGAATTCCTGTTATTAAAATATGGGGCAGCATATAACATCTTTTAAAATATTATGATGGAAACACTTCAGTTTTGGTTATTGCTGTCTGCATTTTGTGTGTGTGTAAATACAAACCCCAGCCTATGTCATATTCAAGTCGAAAGCTAAGGAAACAACTCCCTGAGCTAATGATCCTGTAGGTGTATATCTAGTTGCAGTGCATAACTGCCTAATTTAGAAAATGTTTTAATATTGTACTTCTCTGTGATGGACCACAATCAGTGAATTTTTAAGAGTTACTACTAATGTACTGCATTAAAGTGCTTTTTGTGCCTTGCATCTAAGAAAAAGATCATTTTATGATTGAAACACTTTCATCAATTATAGTGGGGTGATGATTCAGACATCTTTATATAATTTTTAGTACCACAATAAACTGGATTTTTATAGTACTGATGACTCTCTACAGAATATTTTTATTCCTAGAAAATGGAGTTGCTTTAAATTGATGATCTGGGTAATAATACTCTCAAAGTATTATTACTATAATGTGACTATTAGAAAGATTATGTTACAAAGATAGTGAATAAATAAAAAGTCAGTAGGATTGACTTTTTTCTTTGTTTAGGATAAACTTTTTAGGGAAAATCATGATTTACTTTCTTATTCAAATAACTATTTTCACAATAACTTTATAATTCTTAAGCTGTAGAATGTATGTGCATGTCTATAACAAGCTTTTATTCTCTAAATAGACAAAACCCTAAAAGAAATCCATCAAACCATGTTTTATTTAATAGTATAACTAATGCTTATAGAATTTCACATTTGTCATGTTGCTTCATGAAATTGTGTAAGGTAAGCTGAATTTCTTGACATCAGCTTTCACTTTTTGCTTCATTTTTCCTTTCATGCTGTAAATCCTATAAGATATGTACGTTTTCTAGTTGTAGTGAAATTTATCACAGAATCAAACTTTGTTTACATGTAGATTGAATATGAGACTCAAATTAAGAAGATCCAGCTACTCTCAAAAGATAGCCTGGGAATGAAAGGTGAACTGAAAGATGAAGGCAAAGAAAAGGTAATAAATTAAAATAATAAACTTTCTGTTTGTAGGTGATTTCTAGAATGTTCATATTTTAAAGAAATCACCTTATTATAAAGGTTGTTTGATTAAAACTTACGTGATTAAAGATTTTTGCTTATAGAGCATTGCCTTAATATCTAATTAAATTTGCAGAAAGGCAGTCACTTTGGGGTTAAATTTAGATTCCAAAGGAAAATCTCAGTGTTACTTAGTTTTTCTAAATAATGCTTTGTAGCTACTTTTTGTCTTTCTTTGAGAATGTTTTAAAAGAAAAGTAAACAAAATGTGACATTTGACTTCTTTCCTTACTGTGTTTAATTTTGTACATTTTAACCTTTTCACAGAGAAAGTGGAAAAGAAAGATTGCATATCTAAGCAATAGACAAAAAGACTGGCAAGGAATACTTAAATAAATTCTGCTGTGTATCTGCTGTAATGCAGGCTTCTAATCCTCCCACCTATCTCCATATAAATGATTCTGTTCAAGACCATAGATGTTTTCTTCACTAAAAGCAGTAAAGCTCTTTTAGATGAAATGTCTAAAAACATCTTGTAATAACTTGGAGCATGCTGGCAAGAGTAGTCACTTGTGACTATGTGTGAAACCCCCTCAGCCGGTCGATATTGTAATAAGCAGAAATGGTCGCATCACTCCATTATTCAGAAAAGCCAGCAGCGTGCTTGTTCCTTAGGCTGCAGCATTCATTAAGAAAAGCTTACTGGGCTGAAAGCTGGGAACTGATGATAACGGGATATGATTTTCATATTTAATGCTTTCCTTGGAAGAGTGTGTGTGCTACAGATTGATAGAAGAATCAACTGCTACTTTACTAAAAGACTTTCAGGTTTGCCCTATAGCTACCGATGGAATCATTCAGCCAAGAAATTAACTTTTTCTCCTTTTACCTGCTTTATATATCTGCTAAGCAGGCTGCCTGGCTGCCAGTAAATGTTATTATGCAGTTAACTGTTTGGTATTTAAGACTCTTATCAGAAAAGAAACAGAGGCCACACTATTTTGTTTTTATAGTAGGAGGAAGGTTTTAGTTTTTCTTTCTTCCGTGCATTAGCAGGCATTAATCTGAGTTTATAGGAAGTTTTAGTTTTCTTTCTCATAGATTAGAAAGTTAAAAAAGCTAGAATTTAGGGCATTCTTTAAACTGTAAGATACAAAACACCATGCCCCGGCAACCTTGACCTATATAAAAAGGCCTTTAATGATAAATGATCTGTATACCATTAGATGGAGGCCCAATGTGGTATAATGTGATAGACTTCTAAACCATTCAATTTTTCTGTTTGACATCTGGTCATGAAATAATTGACATGTCTTTAATCTATAAACCAGTTTGTTCTTTCTGTACCGCTCCTGATAGACACATTCTTAGTATGGTGGTATCAATGGTACTTAAGTAAGACGGGAGACTTTTTTTTCTATTTGCACTACTGATTCCTCACCTTGCATATAGTTATGAAGTGTTCTTTTAAGTCGTATTTAAACAGAGACAAGACATACTGCTGACAACTCCTTAAAATGTTTCACTTAATAATTAAGATAGAAGTGTTTTCCCTTATTCTAAAAGGTGTCATCTTCTCAAAAGCTTTGACTGTTGACTCCATGTGAGAATTAATTAGGTAACATTTTGAGAAACTAGTATCTTTTCCATTGATACTCAGTTAATTAAAAGATAAATATATTATAGCAAAATCATGACTTAATCCTTATTTTAAGACTAACTCCCCAGAAGTTCCATATCTCATGAGTTCTCTTTGTTATCAGAAATCTGAGTACCTCATCCTCAGCCAGCCCCATTCATTCATTTGCACCCTGAGTTGTTTGCTTCCAGGGACTTTCCTAATTCAGGATGTAGTTGTTGAGCAGCTGCTCTGTTTGAGAAGCTACAATAAGCCCCTCTGTGAATGTCTCAATTCTTGCTCTCAAGGTGCTTCTAAGGAAGCACTGTTCTTGCTAGAGCACAGGAGAGTGTGTGATTTGAGATGGTTACAGACAGGTGTGGCTGCATGGGGACGGCTGGGACCACTTCCTCCACCACGAGTGGGTGACCAGGCATCATTGGAGGAGGCATTGGAGGAGTAGTAGGCTGAGGCTGCTAGGGCTGTGTAGACAGGCGATGTAATGGCTAGAGGAACAGGAGCTGGAAAGCCCAAAGTACAGATGCCATCTGGCAGAAATCAAAAGAACTTTGTTGGGTACATGGTAGAAATGACTTTGAACAAGAGCATCCTGAGACCTGGTACCTGGAGTGCATGCTTAGTCTAGGAAGAGCAGCCTCCTCCTAGGATTACCACTTGGGCATATGTGGTAAGCAGGGGAAGGACTTGCATGCAGAGCAGTTGGGTCCAGGGCAGGTGCTGCAGGTGGTGAGGCTGGCAGTGTGACTCAGGGTGGACTGGGAAGGGTACATGAAGCTGAGATGTGGGGGCAGGTGCACAGGAGTTGTTCCATAGTTCCTGTGCCAGGGAGCTGTTGTGGAGGGAAACACCAGGGGAAGGGAAAAGCTCCAGCCGTTCTGAGAATTCTAAATCATCGAAAGAGAGCTTTAAAAAGTGGTTGTACAGAGGGTCCTGGCAGTGTGGATGTACCCTACATAGTAATTTAGATGTCAAGAGAAGTCATCAGGTAGGTAGTGTTTGTCTTTTCATGTAAAACCCTGACTCAGTTCTGCATTAAGCCACCCACTCTGTGCAGGCATGCAGGATTGTGTTCTTTCAAAGGGTAGAAGACTAGTCTGCTCGCTCCCTCAGCTTATTTCAACTCTTATTTAGCAAAAAAACAAAAACAACAAGAAAAAGAAGATACAATTCAGGCCCTGTTTGAATCCTCACAAGCTTTACTGTCATAATGCTTTCCCTGTATTAGCTATTGCCATTTTTATTTTGGTGTGAACCTTGATTCCATTTGTAGAAATGTCCTTCTGGTTGCTTATTTGTGTTGTATAAGCAATGACTAGAGAACATGTCAAACACACCAAAACATATGTACTAGGCACTTATGGGTGAGACTATACATGTTCCCATGGGGGCTGTGAAGTTTTTTTGAACTATATTGTAAACTCTGTTCCACTAAAAGCAGAAGGGCCTAGGCCAGCACACTGTCAGAACTGAGAACCAGGGAGGCCAGGAGACCTCATCACAGGACTGGAGGCTGCTGGAGCAGTATCATCTCCCCTGCTGTAACCCTCCTGCCCTGCTTCCAGTACTCTCATTACTTAGTGGCGACAACAGGTAGTGACACCTGCACACTTGCCAGCTGTTGCTCTCAAAATCTGAGCAGTACTTGCCGGACCAGGGCAGCCAAGTAGGCCTAGGTCCTCTCTAAGGGCAAAAGGGCAGACTTTGTGTAGCAGAAACCTGATGGAGGTCATTATCACTTAGGGAGAAGGAGTTGCTAACACTGGTGCCCTGCTTAAAAACAGACGACTTAGATGCATTCTCTCAGAAGTGGATTCCAGAACAAGGATTTGAGCACATGCTCTCACTTGGTTGGGAGGTAGCCCGGGGAAGCACAACTAAGGTGTGAGTGTGAGAGTGAGGAAAGTGACAAAAACAAATAAAAGCATCCCATGAGAGAGAAGCATTGAACACCTGATACTTAAGCCCGTGGGAACCTTGGAAGATTGCAGAACAGGCCTCAGAGGAGACCTGCCCTCGGGAAGGACAGGAAGGTCCTTCCCCTGTATCTCAGCCATCTGTGATTGCACCCAACTCTGCTTTCAGGTGGCTTCATGCCAGCCATCTGAGACACAGGAGCTCATGGAGGCCCTGGGCTTGTGCAGCATGATAGGTCCAGGTCTGGCCCCAGCCCTCTCCACTGCACTGGACAGAAACAGCAAGTGGAGGAAGAGAAGGTGGGCTGTCATGTCGAGTTCTCTGTCCTACCATATAGCCTGTTGTAGCATGCATGCGCACCACATCCATTACAATTCTTATAGAATAGCAACTATTTTTATATTCATTTTACACATTAGGGAAAGAGTGCTGAGGTAAGTTATATGGCTTGTCCCCAGGACACACATCTGATAAGTGGTAGAATAAAGGTTTGGATCCCAGGAGACTGGTCTGGAGTCTTATTTTATTTTCTATATTTTTGCTTTCTCCTTTTTTTAAAAAAATTATTTTGGTCTGCAATGCTAATATTTATGAACTCGTACTATGTTTAAGTTACCAAATCAAATAATGTATTTTGGAAAATAGTTGTAGATAGACCTTGGAGGAATTAGAAATTTAGCATCCCATGAGAGAGATGGGATGAAGTCAAGAATGAAAGGAGAACAGTATTTTTAAAGCTCACTTTTAGTGGGTACATAGGTTAGGCAACCATCCTTCTTTGCTCCCCTGGATGATGGAATTACGTGCTGAAGGCCTTCACAAAGGAAGAACTAAGATTCATAGATACAGGACCATGCCTTGCCATGGGGTGAGGGGAAAGAAGAGAGACTGGGCAAGAAGGCAAAGGATAGAAGTCCATTTTTCAAGGAGATAGATTTTGTGAGAAACACTGCTTCTTTCCTCTTTTTGATAGTACAAGGGATTAGAGAAGCTCCACAGAACAAATATTGATTTCTTGTTCTTTAGAAGATTTTCAAATTTCATATGTGTATATTCCATGAAATCCTGACTTATTAGAAAAAAAGCATTCCTTACACAGCCTGAGAAAAACTCTGGCAATGACCATCTTAATTAATGTTCACATACGCTTTGTCTTAGCAGTCTACTTTTGGTCATCTATTCCATAGGAATAAATGCTTTAGTTCACAATGCAGAAATCTTGTTTGTCTATTGAGCATTGTCTTTACTAGCAAAACATGGGAAATCCCTAGGATTAGCAAGGAAGGAGGAGCTGGCCTGGGAGAGGGCAGGGTACAGTCTTGGGTTCAAGCGCTCTGTGTATATTGAGGGGAGTCCAGGGTATCAGCCAAGGGCCCTGGGGTTTTTGTAGGAGAGGAGAGCAGAGTGCAGAGGACCATATAAGG